GATGAGGAGAGCAGGTGGTATAAAAATGAGAGGAGAAGGAGGTGGAGGAGTTGAGTATAAGGAAAAGAGCAGAGATGAGTATTAGGGTAAGAAGAGGAAGAGAGGAATTGGGTATGAGGTGGGGAGAGGAAGAAGGTAATTATCAATAAATGTAACAAAATATTTATACTTAGCACGAGATAATACTGGTGAGATACCTCAAATGTCACTATGAATAAGATCAAAATAATGATTAGCTTGGTGGATAGTAGATTGAAAGGGCGAGTTTTGCTTTTAGCAAGCTTACAAATGGCACAATCAAATGAGGAATTACAAAAGTCAATTTTATTACCCAATAATTAACTTTTCAAAAATAAGACAAAACAACAAAATTTGGATGACCTAACTTCCTATGCCAATGCTCATAGGAATTTAGGACACCATTACAAGCAAATGACAAAATATTAGGTAGAGAAAACTAAAGAGGAAATAATATATCTACTTTAGGTCCTTTAGTCACCATTTTTGCCCAACGCCTGATCCTGTACAAAACAATCAACATGAGAGAAATTAATATTACAATTGTGATCCATTAACTGTCTAATTGAAATTAAAATTGAAACAAGTCCAAGGAACACAAACACATATAAAAGAGAAGAATTAATATCTTTAATCGCACTGATAGAAAAAGTATTACCATAAGCAATTTGAATATTTTTGGTGCCATTGTAAGTTTGAACATTATGCAATTGTTTAGAGGAACCAATCATGTGATTAGAGGCCTCAGAATCAACAAACCAAGTTAGAGAGATAATATTGGACTTACCCTAAATGTTAGAGGTTGAAAGAGCAGATATTATCAATTGTTGTACACTTTCTGGGTCAAGGCACCAGTGTTGAAACCTATACGAGTAGAGGTCTAGCCTGTTGGGGTAGTAGTGGTATAAAATACAACATTGGTTTTCACTTTGGTCGAATTAGACATTCTTTAATAATGTGACCATGTTGCTTATAATAATTGCAGAATTTCTTACTATAGCTGTGAGCAATATGGCCAAATTGCTTACAGAAAAAGCATTAAACATGTCTTATATCATGACCGTTCCTTAATAGCATATAAGAGAGCAAATGTGTCAATAGACATGACCTCTTAAGTCAATAAACGTTGATCTTTCTAAGTAGTTATTTAAGAGACACATCCAAAAAGGGGTCTGGACTGTGATTTAGCAAAATAACATGAACAACTTTTAATTCAAGGTGAAGCTTTATGGGAAACTGGTCCATCTTGCTAACTTCATAAACTTTGTGGACCGCAATGAGCGAGTCTGCAGAAACATCATATAAAGTAATTGAATATTCACTTCATAAATTTAGGAACCTAGAATAATAGTCTTGAATAGACAAATTTCTTTAGCGATAATTAGCAATGTCAAGCTCCAACTGAAAGCATTTGATAACATTATTCTAATTGTAAATATGCTTAAGATAATCTCACATTTATTTTGCTATGAAAAGCAATACATATTGTTGACCATTTGAGGTTCAATAGAAGTCTAAATCCAAGTTATAATTTGGGTGTCCTTTATCTACCATGGTTGCAATTCAACCTTGACTATTGGAGCATGTGTAGATCTGTCTACATGACCCCATGGGCCTTTCCTTGTAACAAATATCTTGAATTGAAATTCCTAAACAACATAATTTTTGTCAATAAAACAAACACATAAATGCTGTGCTACCATGAGCGAAACACCAGAACACAGTCCCTAAACAAAAACGTGAATAAAGAACTAGGAGTGACAAGCGAGAGGACTGAATAACAAACAAATGTTTCACAAGTTAACTCTGATACCATGTAAAGAAACTCTTGCTTCCTTTTTCTATTGTATTTCTTTGTATAAATCATACAAAGTTAATTTATAATAATTAATTATAATTAATTTTCATTTATAGCAATTGATTCTACACAAACTATTTTAGAGATTTTAAAAATATACAATTAATAAATGGAGAAAAAATTATCATATCCTATCACTTTCTAACCTAGTCTCTCTGTAGGATAAAAATTACACTAGATGACATGATAGGATATAGTAAGAGGATACATTTATTATATTGTGATATGACAAAATTGAAAATAAGATATAGGAAAAAAAAATCCTCTCTTATTCTCTTAGGGTTTGTTTGGTGGTCACAGTAATAAGACAACATACAATATTCTCTCTATGTATGAATTAACATGATATGATAATTTATCTTGTTGAGTTAGTTAATTCTATCATCATGGTTCAAATTCTTATAATGAGAAGGATAATGAGTTAGGAATCATTAGAAAAAAAATAACTCTTACTTATACTTTATACTTCTTCAATATTTAATTAAAACTAATTACTTTAAAAATATAATTTTATTTTATATATATATTATATAATTTTTTAACATATATATTTTTTAAAATATATTTTCAAAATTTTTAATCATTTTATAAAATATATTTTAGATTTTTATAATTTTTTTAATAAAATTTCTTACCTAAAAATAAATTTTAATTGTAAAAAATTAAATAAAATTATTATAATTGAATATCAAAATTTAACACTTACATAAAAATATTTTTAATATTATATACATATTGAAAAATAAATTTTAAATAAATTTATTTTTAAATGATTATATTAATTTTGATTTAAGAATAAAATTTGTTATTTAAATATAATTTATATTTTATTCTATTATTTTTTTTTATCTTAAACATTAAAAAAATAATATAATATTATTTATTTTACTATATCACGATGTACTTAAACTATATGATAGGACAAGACTTTATTATTCTTTTGTCATATCTTTTTTTTTTTCCATCTTTTTATTCTTTCATTTCTTATATATGTTATCATGTTTATTAAATAAGGTCTAATTCAATAGACATTTAATATAATTGTACAAGAACTAGTATTATTATTAAAAATTAAAAATTATAATTTATTTTTAAATAAAAGAATCATATCATATATAATATTATATATAATTTTTATTTTTATATATCCATTCCAAATATATATATATATAAAATAAAATTTTGAGAGAGTTATTTAGTTATTATAAAAAGTATTTTGACTCAATTTTTATTTAAAACGAGATATTTTAATTCACCTTCCTTGCACACAAAATTAAATGTCTAGTATGAAAAATTTACATAATTAAACATCTATAAATAACTTAATTAGACTACTCATTCTATTCTAAATTATAATTTTTAATAAAAAATAGTTTTATGAGCAAATACTTTATCATAATGAATCATGCAATATATTGACAATAAGTATATAGTGTAAATATGTATAGATAACCTAATATTTAAACTAAATAAGCTTTCATCCTATCTTAAAAAGAATTGACTAGCAAATTATTTTACTCAATCACCTTTCATTTTGCTAAATGATGCTTTAAATTGTCACGACTTGTTAAATCTATGCATAATAGGCAGAGGTGGCTCAAGAGTTTTTTGGACCTAAAACAAATTTAAAAATGAGGTTTTTTTATTAATAAAATAATTTTTTAAAAATTATTATAATTTTATTTAAAATTCATTTTTCAAACTTTTATTTAAAATTATTATAATTTTATTTAAAATTTATTTAAAATAAGACCAAATTAAAATAATAAAACATGATTGTCAAAAAAATAAACTTGACACTTGCAATCTCTACGCCTCTAAAAGTGACAGCTTTACAAAGAAACTACGAAATACTATTTGGTAGGTGTGGGTAATGGAGGCAGAAGTACCAGTGCTTTTGTGTTGAGAAAATAGAAGGCTTCGTATCAATGCGTTAGAAAAATAGAAGACTTTGCTTTCTCCTCTATTTCTACCCAAAGTTGTTGTTAGTAAAAAAATACAAATTGAAGCAAAATTGAATAAGAAGAAAATAATTAGAGAAAGAAAGAAGAAAAAAGTAGCAATTAAATAAAAAGTAAAAACTGTTAAATTTTTTTTTTGTTATTCAATTATTTTTTTTAAAAAATAAATTAAAAAACATTTATTATCTATTAGTTAAGAGTTACAGCTTATAATATTATTTATAATATCAATGAAAAATTAATAATTACTTAAAATATTTAAATTAAAAGTTATTTTTAAATTTAATCTTTTTAATTTTTTTTAAATATAATAAAACTAAAAAAAATAAAAAATTTGGGAGCCTAAAGCACTTGCCTTACTTGCTTGAACTTTAGGCCACCCATGATACTAGGTGAATTTAGGAATTGAAAAAAAAGTAAAAAAAAGTCTCATCTTTATTATACATTAACAATAAAATAATTTTTTCAAGCTTCAATAATAATAAAAAAATGTATTAGTATGTATGTTAAAAATTTTACATAAGATATTTTTTCAAATCTTTTACAAAATTTTAAAAAGTTTCAATTAAGTGAGGATCTTAGTATGGACGAACTTCAATTTTAGGGTGTTGAGAATATATATCCATGCAGGGTTCGCCCTTTTTATGCCAATTGATTGAGACTTTTCAATTGAGACAGAGGCCGCTGTTCTCCCCTATTTGGTAGATTCGCATTAGCCAAAGCAAAACAGTCAGATTCAAATCCAATAATATCACTGTTTTAATCAAACGTCAACTCCCATTTTTTCTTTCTCTAATATACCAAAGGTTAGACATGCACTCAACGTAGAAATCAATATGCATTTTCAGAAAATAATAAGAGAATTTGTTTTTTCGCAAATCAGTGTTTGATATTGATTAAAGAATTAAATGTAAAAAATTAGATATTATTAATAATATGATTATATTTAAAAAATTATTTAATTTTTTAATCAAATTTTTTCAAGATTCATGTTTTTTTTTATATATAATTTTGGTTAATTATTTTCTTCCACTTTTTGACTATTTTTTTGTGAGATGTGTATATCTAGAAAAAAAATCTTAAAAAGTGAAAAAGATAAACAATTATATACAATATTAGATTTGATGTTATTTTTAAGTTGTTGAAATGACAAAATAATAATTAAAAAAAAATGTTCAGTAGGGGGCAATAACTGTATTCACACTCTTTGAACTCCAATACACGGTTACAAGAGCAAAGAAACTGGCAAAGCTAGAGGGAGTAATCTTCTCTTCTATATATTTTTGCACATCTCCTAAGATTAAATGTAAACATTAAGTTTCTTTGATTTAGATCCCTTCTCTAATTTATATCAAACACACACAAAAAAAAAAGAAGAGAAGTTTTGAAACTGATCTAAGAAGCAATTGTTGCAACTTTGGGCACAAGAACAGGAAACTCATGAATCTCATCCAGCCAAGGATTCTTCTCCTTAGCTGGATTGATGGTCCTCAAAGCACGCCACACAGCACTGTTGCACTTAAAGCCAGACCCAAATGCAATCTGCCAAGTCCTATCACCCTTCCTTATTCTCCCTTTAGCTTCAGTGTATGCCAACTCATACCACAAGGAACTGCTAGAAGTGTTACCAAACCTATAAAGGGTCATTCTTGATGGCTCCATATGCCACTCACTTAGCTCAAGATTTTTCTCTAATTCATCCAACACTGCCCTCCCACCAGCATGAATGCAAAAGTGCTCAAAAGCTAGTTTGAAATCTGGGATATAAGGCTTTATCTTCATCTTAAACACTTTTCTGGCAACCAATGTGGCAAAAAATAGAAGCTGCTCTGACATGGGAAGGACTAATGGTCCAAGTGTTGTGATGTTTGTCTTAAGGGCTTCTCCAGCAACAGCCATCAAGTCTTTTGAGAGTGACACACCAATTCTCTTTGTTTCATCTTCTTCTTGAAACACACAACCATAGGATTTGTCATCTGCACCTTTGTGAGTGCGCACTGTGTGCACCAATTGGTATTTCGCTTTTCGCCTATCACAGGAACGGTTGGAAAGTAAGATTGCAGCTCCTCCCATTCTGAAGAGACAATTTGAGACTAGCATTGACCGGTTGTTTCCAAAATACCAGTTCAGAGTTATGTTCTCCATGCTCACCACTAAGGCATAAGAGTTGGGATGTACCTATATATATATGATACATCAGTGTCCATAATAAATACTTAGCTTTACCTCCTCATCATACCGTATTACTATGTAATATGTTAAGGTTTATTAAATATTACATTTAAAAATACGACAATAACAACATATTAATAATGATTTTTAATAAAAATATCTCATCTTTAATTGTTAGAGATATTAATTAGTTAGCATATGCCTATGTAATATTAAGAATCATGTGTACGGGGTATGATTATATATATAAATGGATGTGATTGCATATTATGATCATAGTTAATTAATAGATGATTGAATATGGAATGTTTTTAATTTCGAGAACTCGGTTTCTCTAAGTGGATAACTTGTAAGGCATATAGAAATAAAGAAGGATCCATAACTTTTTTAGTAATGTTAAAATTTTCAACTATTTCAGTCTCTATAATTTTAAATTTATATAAAAATGACACAAACCTTTAAAAGAAAAAAATTAAATTTAAAAGTTAACTAATATTTTTCAGAAAATACATATTATTTTTTTTGTTAATAAAAATATTTATTGGTCAATGAAGTAAAAATATTTAGCAGTTTTAATATCTTTAATTACGATACTTGGATTGGAAGGGGATTGATTAGGTTGGCTGACCTAACAAAACTGCCAACAACCTGTTCCGTGAATACGAACCATTTGTTCACTCGCCATCATAAAGCGTGTAAGTAATAAATCACATAATAACTCATTATTCAGTTCAAAGAGGAATGTATATGTGCCAAGGTTGTGTTTGTCTCTCTTTTTATATTAATTTATGTGGGTTTCACTCGTTTATGTTTGGTTCAATAGAAAGATAATAAGAAGTGAGGAAAATTAAAATAAAATTAAAACCAAGAAAATAAAAAGAGAAAAAACAGTAATATTTTTCATGTTGTTTCCTCTCATTCAAGCAAATAATTTATTTAACTTTCCGATTCAATGGAGTAAATTAATTAGGATCCTTGTCAATTTTTGGAGTGGATGCTGAAAATTGTTGATCCAGGCACCATAGTGGACAGTTTTGAATTTTGAAAAGTTGAAGGACATATAATAATAAGAGAATTAAGTGCAAACCTGGAGAAGCTGTTTGGCAAGGTCAATGGAGATAAGACCAGCACTGCACCCCATGCCACCAAGATTATAACTCAGAATATTCCCTCTTAAATTGTAGTGATTGACAATCATGGCAGAGAGTGAAGGTGTGGGATTGAACAAGCTGCAATTCACAACCAAAATCCCAATATCCTTAGCCTTCACCCCAGTCTTTGCCAGAAGCTGATCAATGGCTCCAAACATAACCTCTTCAGCCTCTTTCCTTGCCTCAGCCATACATGGATTTGGTGGCAAACTCAATATTGCAGGTGGCAAGTACGTCCCTTGTCCCAAACCAGACCTTTCTAGAATCTTCTTTTGAAAGGACAGGTTCTCCTCTGAGAATGCCCCTGTCAGAGCAGACCTTTCCATGAAAATCTCCCTTGTGCACGTGCAATCCGCACGTGGCTTGTAACATGCAAAATCCACCAAGTACACACCTCTTGGACGTGTCATGAAGTAGAGGGTGCCAAGAAACACCATTAGGCTTGAACATAGAGTCACTGAGACAAGGTTGAACTTGAGGTTCTCCCATAATTGCACAAGGTCTTGGATTGAAAGTGTTGAAAGATGAGCTGAAGCTAAACCTAGAAGGGGTATTAGCAAAAGGTACATAGCGTTGGAGATCAAGTAGTGGTACCCAAGTTTCACATACTTGAGTCTCACTGATAGTAGAAAGTTTGGAAGTTTCCTTCTTTCTTTTGGAGATTCAACACGAACGGTTCCCGAATCCGGGTTTTCATTCTTCTGATCTGCCATGAAGGAACACTTGGAAATTGAACAGTATAAAGGGGTGGTGTTTGATAATAAGCTTGTTGAGTTTGTGTAAAGGAAACAAGGGATGATACAATATACCCAAAAGAAATGGTTAATTTGGGTTTGCTTATCAATGGGAATTAAAACTTTATATATGGTAAAGAAATAAGCTTTTGAAATATGAATGTGAAAGATAAATATAGGGAGAAGATGAATCCAATGGGTTGCAAAAATGTGGAAGATGGGAAGGTTATAAAGGGTGTAAGATGAAAGAGAGAGAAGGGTGAGGAAGGTAGTCGATACAACTACCCCAACGAACTTTTAATTGAGAACATGCAGTGGCATTCAATTCGCCAACCGGGAAAATAGCGCGTTTTCATCTTTAATTTTGAGGGGTTATTTCATAAGGGAATGAATTTGACCATGTTGTTCACTGTTATTGCTGCAGTGCCACTTTGTTGCAGTGCTTTCTCCATTTTCATTAGTCATTAATTTGTACCAAGCAAACTAGTAGAAGCTAAGCAAATGCATGCATGTATGTCAGATTGGCAAGACCACCGTCTTTTCGGTCAAAACCGTACCTTGGAATTGGTGAACTACACACATAATGTATGTATGAAGCTTTGCTTTGCTTTCTCTTTTCTTTACTATTTCTTTTGTACTCCTTTTCTTCACACATTTTATCTCAAAAGTGAAGCTTTCTCTCTGTTCTTTTTTTTATTATTATTCTTGTTATATATATTTATATATATATAATTTTCTCACGTTAGTGTAAGCTAAAATCTTTTATATTTAATTTAAATTTTTTATTTAATTTATATTTAATAAATTATAATTTATTATTATACTATCTGTTAAATATAAATTAAATAAAAAATTAAATATAAAATTTTTTAGATTTATATTAGTGTAAAAATATCATTATATATATATATATATCACTTAAAAATTAGATATATATATTTTTTATTTTATATAAAAAATAATTAATATTAGTCCTCAAACTATTTATTATTTTATAAATAATTATAAAAATGTTACTAAAAGGTCTTTTTTACAACATTAGTAATTTTTATTGGTTTTGATAATTTAACCTTTAATACTGAGTTTGTGTAGTTAAAAATAGTAAAATTTTATTTTAAAAAATATTAATTAGATATACAAAAGTGTTATAAATAAGTTTTTTTATTAAATTATATATATATAAACAACATTAGTAAAACTTTATTTTTAAAAAAAATTATTGTTTTTAGATATTTAAATTTAATTTTAAGAGCTGAAGTTAATTAAAATATATTTTTAATAAGTTTGATATATCAATGCTAATAATTATGAACAAGTTAGAGTTTGGGGGTGTGACGTATCGATGCTAATAATTAAGTCTCCCAAAACTTTATAATCATTAATATTTGTTTTATAGAAAGACAGTTGAAAGTTGGGAGTTTCCATTTTGTGTTTTTGGATGGTTGGGGTTTGAAAATGCGTACACCGTAATGAAAACCAGAATCTGGTTCTATTATTAAAAAAACTGCTATGTTAAATTGCTTCAGTACGTATCAAAGGGCTTTGGTAATAGATGCAAGACGATTTTTTTTTTGCTTTTCTTTTCTATGTATAAAGGATTTTGGTAAATATTTTATCTTAGCCGCAATTTAGGCACACCAAATTATGCTTTGATACAGAAACATTATGACTAGGGTGGGCACTTTTTTGCCAATTTATAGAAACCGATAAAATCGAAAATCCGATAAGAATTTGTCGGGCAGGTAAACACAAGTGTAGGAAAAATTAATTTTAATTTTTTGGTTTAAAATGAGTTGAATCGGTCGAATGCAAATTGTTGTCGCAATTAGGGTGATAATAGTATGACAAAAATGTTTTTAAGAAAAACATAATCTTTTAAAAATAAAAATGTTTTCGTTTTAAGAAACATGCCATTAAAGTTTATTTAAAAAAATTTTAATTTTTTTTTAAAATAATATATGATCTTTGAAATAAAAAAAGAGTTCGAGAGTTACTTATGTGTAAAGAAGATATTACGTACTTTGTAAAGTTTGTTTAAATAATGGTTACCTTAAATTAATTGTGTAAATTTATTTTAATTTTAAAAAATAATTATTTAATTTCAAAACAATAATTATTGTTATTTCTATTTTAAGAGAAAAAAATTATTTATTGAAATGTTAATTGAATATCTTAGAAAATAATTTTTTTTAAATAGTTTTGACTTGACGAGTCAGGGCTCCTACGCATCTCCAGGTATGATGGAGAAATCTATTTTAGTTTTGAAAAATATTTATTGAATCCCTAAACAATTATTGTTATTTCTATTTTAAAAGAAGAAAAATTATTTATTGAAATATTAATTGATATTTTAGAAAAAAAATTCTTTTAAAAAAATGGTTTTGACTTCACGAGTCAGATTTCTGCTCTTACGCATCTCCAGATACAATGAAAAATTGAAAGTCACGTAACTCTATCATAAAAATTATGAAGTTGGTTGATTAAAATTAAGTTTAATAAAAGAAATTTTATTTTGAGATTAAAATTATTTTAATAAGGTTAGAATGTTTAGGATATAAGACAACACGATTATATATGTATTCTATGATAAACAATACAAAAAACAAAGAAAGATCACACGATTGTATTACAAATCGTTAAAAATATTTTCATTTGTAAATGAAATATTTGAATATGAAGATTTATATTGAAAAGAATTTAAGACGACTACTATACATAAATTTCTTATGATTTATTG